TTTACCATATTGGGACCAGGATTTTGATCCCCGACATAGGTCCCCATGAGGTGACTGTGTAAACAGATTAAAGTGTCCACACCGTAAAACAAGTACACACACACACTTCAAGCTCCACCCCCCAAACATTATATGAGATTAGGATTTCTTTGATAGAAACACTGATTTTTTAATTTATTTATACATTTTAGCTTTTTATGGTCATAGTGCCCTTTGTCTTTTTAACTTTGTAGGTGATTATTTGAGTCATTGCTGTAACATTTCTGCACTGTCCATTTTTGTAATGGCATCGACTATGGGAGAATTATCCTGCCATAATGCAAGAGCACATAATTTCAATTTGAGAAAAGAATGTAATCTTCTTGCACTCAAAACTTATAATGCTAACACTCAAAACATGCACTCTCTCTCAAATATTTTCTCTTCTCTCTCAAAGAACTCATGCTCTTCCTCAACACTGAAGTCCTCAGACATTTTTCTTTCGTTGTTTCTTTCTTTGCACAGGTAAACACCTGGCTCTTTATGCAAAAATAAACATTATGCAATGAAATATTTTCTTTGGATATACTTTAGGGATTCCTTTTGGTAGATATTAAAGCATTTTTAGTATCACCTATTGTGAGCTGGAAGAAATAAATCTTGATAGTTCAACAAAGTTTTTTTTATGCTTAGCAGGGGATGATCAGACACATAGTTTATTAAGTAGCAAGAGCAGGAAGAGACATACTACTGACAGCGAACTATCAGTGTGGAGCATACAGTAAAGCACAGACTCTGAGCTACGTGTGTGCAAAGACGTATCTCTGCACAAGCACAGCTGGACGATCAGTTTGTCAGAGTTCAGCAGTAGTGGACCATTCTGGGTTATTTTCTCCCCTGCTGCGGCTGCCATGATCGAGCTTTGGTCATGCAGAATGTGCACTGCTGCACACCAGGTGGGTGGCATGACCAAACAAGACGCTGCAGCACGGCTGATATTGCTTAGCGGATTACAGCACAATGATGCATTTTAAATGTCTGGCCGACCAGCCGCTCTCATTTTTATTTATCCTTGTCTCGTTGATGAAAACTCACACCCATGAGTCGTCAAGTTTTTGTCATAAAACATCCACGTTGAGCTCGTCAGTGTTCGTTATCGTCATGAAAAAAAAGGAGCGTCAGCAAAATAATTCCGCCATTGTCGTTCTTGACGAAAACAACACTGAAAGCTAACTACGGTAAAATAAGTAAATATTTCAAACCTTTAACATCAGTTCTTACTGACCACTTTCCCGCTCTAACAGGGACCTTTGAGTTTTGTTTTTTTTAACTTCTTTAACAATCCACCTGTAGGTAAGTCCTGTTTATCTTAGTTCTCACAGATTAAAAATGAATAACTAATACTCTGACAGCACAAATGTTTAAGTTTGATCAGTTTTCACCAGATAGTTTACTAGTCTTAAGATATTTTTGCTAGTCTTATGAAGACTAGTAAACATATCTAACACCATGCTCTCTTGTCTTTCCCACTTTGAAAAGTGGCTAAAGGAGATGGTCTTTAGTATGTTGCATTAGACCCCAGACAATCTGGTCAACTTATAAAAGTATGAATACAAAGGTATACCTGGGTTTGTTTATGAAAAATTTCCTAAAGTTAGATTTTTTAACCAACCTGATGAATGTTTTAATGTAGCTGAATTTTTGGCAGTGTTGCTCTAAAAACAACTCAACTATTCCTTAACTGCAAAAAAGTACCCTTTTGTAAAGTTTGAACATTTTGACAAAATGAGACAAGAATTAATATTATTTCCGCACCAAACTTTTATTAATTTATTTTGGTTGATTAACATCTAACTTTTTATTAAAATAATGTTATTATAAAAAAAAACAACTTTATAGTATAAATGAGAAATATCTGCTTTTGAAAACATACCATAGGCAGTGTTTAAAATCCATTTACATTTGCATTTGTTTATTAATGTAATTAAAGATTAAATTTAACATTTTAGGTTGTATTTTTAATAATTTTAATAATTTTTAATAATAGATAATAAAAAGTTTTTCTATTAAATAAAAAACTATTAGCCAGCAGAGGGCATAAACTGATGCTGTATTGAAAGCATTTAGCTTAATGGAGACACTGTACAGTGCTGTGAAAGAATATTTGAATATCTCTCAGGTGTTATTCCTTTTATTTTAAAACAGATGATATTATCAGACCATGTCAACATGAATAATCACCAAAGTAGATTTTAAATGATACTTTGTGTGAATATTACTTCCGATTAAATTTAACGTATCTTCCCTTTGTCAATTTATAGTAATATCTGACATGAATCGTTTCCCATCACAGTGAAGAGAAACCAGCTCCATTCTTCTTTGCAAATTTTTTTAGATTTAACCATAAATATAAACACATTGCTTTTTACTTATAAACTACCTGTTTCTGATCACATAAAAGCATCGTATAGCGTTATCATTCCCAATCTGATCTAAGTCCATAATCATACTAGGTTACTTTAAAACCTAGAATTTGGTAGTTTTAAGCCACTAGAGGTGGAACTGCAGCTCAGTTATTCAGTTCTGCTGTAGGGACAAAACAATCAGATTAATCGATTATTGAAATAATCATCAACCAATTTAGCAATCAGATCATTTCTAACTTTAAATAAAATATACATTTTGAAGTCTTTAATGTTTGTTTTTCAATTTAAACACTTTTATATTGATGTATGTTGATGTGCTAAGCATATATATCCTTAAATGAATCATAGAAATAGATTACTGAACTAATCAATACTTGCAGCCCTATTCTCCAGTATAACCCAGGTGGTATTAAGGTTAAGGACTGATTCTTCTACAGAACATTCCAGAAGAGATCAGAGTTAAGTGGTAAGTTCATGACTTCATCGGTAATAGTATATCATCAAGGCCCTGAAGCAGCAAAGCAGACCCAGACAGTCATACCACCACCACCATGTTTCATTATATGTCATGATCCCACTTTGTTTAAATGTTTACTTTTATTTATTATCTCTGTTAACTTGGTGTATGGGTTCTCTTATAATATTATAATCTTTTTACATCCTACTACATAATATTTTTCAAAGTTTATTCTATACATTGAGATATTTTGTGTTGGCTTTTCACTGTTTTTTTATTTTTCTATCTGGTCCTTCTCATATTATATCTCTTTCTCCTCTCCTACCTTAATTGTTCCTGGCTGAACTCTTCTCTCCATCTGCCTCATTGTCCAATGGTTCCCTTCCTGTGTCTCAAATGCTTTGCCCTGATTTCTTGATTTTTTTGTCTAGTTCTCATATTTCTGTAAGTTTTTCTCATTTTATTTATGAAATTAAACTTAATTTTTGCCTCAACCTTTTCATGATATTGTATAAAGAATGTTTCTGACTTCTTTGTTATTTTTTTGCCTGACCATTTAGGACACACAAAGACACATACACACGCACGTATTTTTCTTTTGTTTGATGTGTTTGTTATATTCTACCTTTAATGACTACTGTAAATTAAAATTGTATCTCAAGAATAAGAAATAAAGCTTTAATCTTGAACCACTCCCTTATGTTTTCTCCATGTGTGCAAAACAAATCTCACTGTGGTTGTCCAGAGCTCTAACTTCAGGGAATGGTCCAGTTCTTTTGGTTGGAGATTTTTTCTATCTTCATATTATCAGACATATTTTTACTGCATATAAAAGGATATATCTATTCTGTAAGCCTTGCAGGTAAGCCCTAGGTTTGGCTAGTGGAACCACCTCAAAATAAGGTTAAAAATCAAGATAGTGAGTTTATTCATGCTTACACAAATTACTTATTTTACATTGGATGATTTTTTTTTTTTTTTTACAACAATTTTCCCTTAATGCAATTATCATATGAAAACCATATTTTGCATTAATTTAGAATATATATGTCTTATGCCTTGTTTGATCTAAAAATGTAGATATGGGAAAGAAAAAGGAGCAGAAAAATATATGTAGGGAGAGCGAATATTTTTTCATAGCACTGCACATTGCTTCCCTTCTACAAATAAAATTCAGACGTAAACATTGCTGCCCGTCTGTCTAGTATAGCTGGAGATGGTAGAGATGCTGCTGTTTCTGCTTTCGCTTGAGCTTCTTTGGCTTCTTGTTTTCTTGGTGTCTGTGATCTCTGTGCGAGCTGATGATGCGTAGCTCTTTCTTGACGGAACAAAGGTGTAGCCAGGGTACTGGTTAACGAGGTCTTTCTTTGGTCTGTGAGGATTAAATTAGACAAATATACAGCTTTATTTTAGAGACAATTGAAAAAGCTGAATGTTAAAACAAAACATTCAGAATCAGCATTTTTACCTTGAGTCGAATGCTTCCCTGCCAGCTAAGATACAGTACACAAGGCCTCCAGCAACAAGTAAAGTGGAGCCTCCCCAGCCGATGAAGACTCCAACTCCGATCTCAAACCTGGTAACAACCAAAAGAGCTACTGAAGTGTCGCTTTTGTTTTGTTTATACATACTTAATATTAGACATGTTGCACATACTTCTGTTCAACGAAGTTGGGGTTGTCAAACTCTGATCTAATTTTGTTTCCATAATATGAGAACGCTGTCATTGCGGACAGGCCTGAAACAACACAAGGAGATTACTTTAAATATTAACCACAATGAGTACATCAATAAGATTGTTCTGGCTTTTACCTCCTATAAGGTAGTTCATTCCACCAGCAAATGTTACTTTTGCATTGGTAATCTCTGAGCCCCCAATCTTGGTGCACTTCATTCCCACTAAGACCAGAATGCATCCGAAGAAGGCCAAGATAATGCTGATGATGATGAGAGCTCGGCACATGTGAATGTCCCCTGTTAAAAAGCAGAACAATTTGAATGTTTTTGTATTGGACCAAGCTTCCTGGAGCAGATTCTTGGAAAATGTTCATACAGTCTGAACATTTTTACCATAACAACCACAATTTTTTATGTATTTGTTTATTTTTACCTGTCAGACTACCTTGAAGTAGATCACAACAGAAAAAGTGGAAGGAAAGAAAAGCTATGTATTTGTATCGAGCCTACTTTGCTATGATGTCCTGAGATAAAAATCTATCTTCAAGATAAACCCGATTTGCAAATTGTCCACTTCTGTGCCATCCAGGCTCAGTGTAACTACTACGAGTTTTGTTAGAGAACAATAGTGAGCAAAACACATCAGAAACAGTAAGGAACACAGCAGACAACTCAGGAATGAAGCTGTAAAGAAATTTGAAGGCTTTGAACGTTTCACAAAAACACGATGGAATCCATCATTTGCTCTTTAGGCTCCAGGGTCACATGTGAATTACCACAGTAATCATTGCTGGAGTAATTCCCTCTATTATATTCTTCCAATTGGTAGAATTATCAGATATCATGGGATACATTTCTACTACTACCCGTTACATAGACTAATGTATTGAGGACATAAAAAGCTGGATGACTTTAAATCTACTGCTTATGTCCAAAGACAGAAGGTATTGTCTTTGGACCAGAGTCTTTAGACTGTAGCCAATCAGCCAGTCACTTAATCTGGGTGGAGATGTTATTTTTGATCAATATTTGCAGTAAATTTCATGTTAAACAGGTTTCTAGAAATGTCTTCTTCAGGAAGTCCTCTGAATAAAGAGTTTGTGTTGTTGTTAAAGGGGTGGGCTTCAGCTGATCCAAAAGCACAGCAGCCAGAGTTCTGATTAAACTTAAAAAGAGAGCTCATATTTCTCCTATTTTAGCTTCCCCACACTTACCTTATGTTAGATTCAGAAGACGATCCTCTGTCTCACTTATAGGGCCCTAAATAACAAAGCTCTGTCTTATACCAGAGCTCTGACTGTTCCAGAAAATAGCGCTCTGCTCTCATTCTGCAGGTTTACAAGAGGTTCCAGCTACATCTGACCTGGCTCTCTGTCTAGCTGTAACGCCATCCTGGAGGGAGGCAGCAGCTGGGCTGCTGCCGTCAACAACTGCAATTATAGACGATAGAATGAGTCTTGTTTTTCAATGGTTAATCCTGTTTCTCTCCTAGACATAGCTATGAGATCAGCCTTGACTGTGACTAACTCTATGTGCTCTTTATCCTCCCTTAAGATATGAAAACCAGCTCATAGCTCATCTTTCCCACACAGAGCCATGTATGGAGCTAGTTTAAAGTAACCCTGTATAACATTGAATGTATTTATGGATCAGGGCTTCTGTGTTCCTTCTGTGGGTCCGCTTGTGTTCTTAAACCCCCGGATGTCCTAGGTAGAAGGCTGCTCCCACTGAGCCTGGTTCTGCCGGAGGTTTCTCCCTATTAAAAGGGAGCTTTTCCTCCTCGCTGTCTCTGCATGCATGTTTGAGGGATTGCTGCAGCGTCAACAACATATTGCAAGAGAATGTGTCCTTTCCCTATAGGCACATCCAAGAGAAGCAACTCCTGTGATGTCAATGACTATATGTAATTGTCTGTATTTCCTTAGATATATACTGTATGTTTTAACCAATTTCTTTGTATGATTTGTTTGAATTGTGTTTTTAAAGTACTTTGAGATTATGTGTAGTGTGAACAGGCACTATGTAAGTAAACCGAATTAAACTTTTAAGAGTATTAATCATGTGGAAACTCCTTAAAACATGTGCTTTTTGCCAAAGAGCCCAACCATGCACAGTGTTAGTTAGAGAAACAACCGACAAGTCCACTCTGGAGGAGCTCCACATTCCCTTTCCCAGGTGGGACAGAGTGACATGATAACCTGTGCACTCTACAAATCTTGCCTTTATGGAAGAACAGCAAGAAACAAACTGAATGAAGAAAAGCAAAAGATATATTGAGCTTTGTTAGAATTCATGTAGCTGAGACAGCAAACACAGAAGATCCTCTGATCAGTTGAGACTAAAGTTAAACTACCCGTTCTGTGTGCCAAATGCTATATATGGCAAAAAACTAACTCTGCTTTTCCTCCTAAAAACATTGTTCTAATGATATAATATGATACTGCCAGCAACTTAAAAGGTTTACCTTTTAGCAGGACAATGACCCTACACATACAACTGAAACTTAGGTGGAATAGATCAGCTCAGTGGGTCTGAATAAGCTTGATATTATGTAAATACCTTAGCAGGATGCCCTGTGCTGTACTTACAGTTCAATTCCAGCATTGATGGAATTCCCTTACAGTCAGATACTCCGGTAGAGTCAGAAATGCAGTCCTTCCACAGATTGGAGAAGTAGTTGGATGTCGTTAGGACAATACTGCCAACCTCAGACCAAGTCCAGATCTCTGTGGGCTGCGTTGAACAGACCAGGATCCATCCAGCCACGCAGACCACAAAGCAGCCAATCTCTGAGTACATCACCACAGTCCTGTAACCCATGTTGACCCGCCAGGTTCAGACAAGAATTAACAATCCAAACTCCTGAAACCGTGAGACACTTCGATTTAGAACCTGTTCAACTCTCCCCGATCCCCTTTGCTCTGAGATGGAAAAAAACACACAAACGCACACAGCCAGGTCTGTGTACATCATCACATGTTATGCCTTGAAGGGCACTTCCTGTGTTTTGTAAAGAGCACTTGAGCTAATATGTTTGATGTGTAAACCTCAGAACCTTCCAGCATGATTCAGTTTTTGCCAGCTCTGTCCCCAGACAGGTTATAAAGTTCAAATGTGACAAAATATACACTGAGAGAGAAGAATCATAAATATCAAGCAAGTAATGATTTATTGAAATGTACCTGCAGTGCTACTAAATACAGTGGAGAAATACATGACAGATTAACTTGGCCATAGTAGAAATAACAGGTTTTCTAAGACGTAGTCACATTATCTGCTCTCATTGAATCACAATAAAAGGGTAAACATAGCAAATATTTATATTACAGAAAGACAGACAAACATTATGACCAAAAACCAAAGGTTTGAATTTTGCCATATTAGGGTTAGTTGATTTTTGCTACTTAAAAAAGTTCATGATGAATTTCATGATTAAAAAATATATTTAATTTAAAAATGCATAAAATGATTTGAATTACTGAGTTATTTGTTGAGTTAAAATATCTTCCTTTGATGTTTGACAAAACGTTTCTGAGACACTAAAAGTCTATATTTTTGTTTATCTCTTAACACAGTTTTTTGGTCAATATCTGATTTGACATCATGGTGATTAACTTAATCTTTACATTTGACTGCATACTTCCACTAACTGCCCTGTCCTCTTTTTAATATTGTGCTTTGTTGCTCATTTCCTTCGTATTGTAGTGCCCTCGTATGTGTCGAAAGGCGCTTTGAATAAGATGAATTTTATTATTTGTCTTTTTAAATTTTTTTTTAAGAAAAAGTGTAATAAATAGTCAGGTTATGTGATATATTTTGGTTTGCTATGATCATGATAGAAAAAAGAAAACAACATTAAGCTGAAATATTGCTAAGGTTAATATTAAACCTGTACTTTTTGCACTTTTGCAGAGTAGTTGCATCAGTTTGCAGATCGATTTAGAGGTGTTCCTGAGCTCATGCAGGACGTTTCACCAAATTTTATGAAGTGTGTATGTAAGTCTGTCCATCCACTCATCCTTCCGTCCTGTCTGTCTGTCTTTCTGTCTGTCTATCATCTAACTTGGGGGTCAAAAATAGGGTGTAAATAGACAGTTTCATTTTTGGCTCAGCAATTTCTTTGTCTTTACATACTGGAAAATCAACTAAATTAGTTGACATTACATTGTTTAAAAAAGGTGATAATCAGGGCTGAGCCTTACCATATATACAGCATATACACTTAATTACCTAACATATCTGTGGCTAATTGATAAAAGTAACCATAAGAGTATTTATCACTGTTCATTTCAAAAGGAAAACAAAGCAATCAATTGAAAATGATATATAAACATTCTATTCAGTTTAATGAAACATCATACACTTATTTAGAACCACATTGAAGAACTTTGCAAGACTTGCAGAGGCATTATCACTACACAAAAGCATCTCTTTCTGACAGTCTTGGTGAAGGTTGTGACAGCTTAGAGACCTTGCTGCTTGTTCTCCCTGAGACGTAAGACCCATACAGTCTGGAGGGTTCGTAGTACCCAGTGTACATGCTTCTTCCTCTGTAGGCTGGAGGCATGTATGTTGGTCGACCATAAACCTGTATCACTCTTCTAAAAAGCAAAACATAAAATTAATGGTCAGCTTATTGTATTGTACAGAGATGCTGATGAGGGATTTACTGTAGATACCTGTTGGGGAAGATTACTCCGATGACTGTTACAACATACAGCACAGCCCCGAAAAAGATTAAAAAACATCCCACCAAACCCAGAAATATGGGCGGTCCTAGATCATATCTGAAATTAAAACATAAAAACAAAATCTTAATATACATTTTTTTTTTTAACTGTTTCATGCAGCATTTTTATATATATATAAAAAACTATACCTTAATTCTCCCCTTGGTAAGTTGGAGGCAAAAGCTGTTCTGGCGACTCTGTTGATGTATAAGCAGTAGGCAGCAAGACATGACACACCTGTGTGCAGAAGTTTCGTTGAAACCAACAAATTAAATGAAGGCAAAACATTTTTGCTATTTTTTTCAGGAGAAAACACACCATGAACTCTTGCACTCACCACCAACAAAATGGAAAACAGCTCCTGAAAAGACCAGTTTGTCTTTGGTTGGTTCTGTTCCTCCGATATAAGTGCACTCCATCCCAACGAAGCAGCAAACGACTGCGAAGAATGCGAGTGTCAAGCCACACATCATCAACCCCCTCACTGCCTGGACATAATCTGTTAGTAAGACAAAGATGGAAAATTGAAAACCTTATTTGGTTGCACTGTGGGCTTTGAACAAGAAGACTCTGGGGTGTTAATACCATCTGTCTTTATGATTTTTCTCACCAGGTGCTCCAGCTTTCTATCACAGTTGTAAAACATGACTTTTAACAATTAATTATTAAATTCTCTTAGTCAATTAGTGCAGGCTGACGTTCATTTACAAAGAGAACATGACAAAGAATAAACAGAACAATATACATTTAAAACATACTGCACACCCCACTTGCCCTTTAAGGATTACATTGTTAATAATGCTCTTAAGTCTGAACATAATTTACTTAAGAACTTTACATTTAAGAACTTTTAGCTGGAAAAACAATCATGTTTTTAGATAAAGCTTGTGAAATACATTTTTTCCTCTGTTTTCACTCACGTTTTGAGGTAAATTGGGTTGACATTTGTAGATAAATCAACATAATAGTCAATATTTGAAAGGAGATATTTTATACTACTTTAAAAAAGCCTTAATCATGTGAAGAAGCATTTTTTAAACTGATAAAAACCCCATCTTATTATATTTACTAAAGACTGTATGAGCTTTTAGCAAAAGATGTTGCACACCTAACTGATCACACTGGTTTAAAGTATTTTCTGCTCATGAATTAGTTCAACATTTACAGTATATCATTAGCACATGCTCACACTTTACAAAGCTTGAGAGACATTAAAGTTACTACTTTGCAAAACCTTCATTGTTAAACGATGATAACTCACAGCTGACATTCCAGAGGACAGAATAATCTCTACAGTTGGTGACGGCAGTGGAATCGGTGAAACAGTCCTTCCACAGGTTGGACCAGTACCAGGCCACCTTGATAATAAAGGAACCACCTTGTCCTCCTATCTGGGTGATTCTCCAGTAATCCATTGCCATGGTGCACAGGACGAACAGCCATCCCAAGGAAGAGATCAAGAAACCAAATATTTGGATCAAACGCTTCCTCATTGCTGAAGTGAAGAAATCTGCTAATTGAGCGTGCAGACAAAGAATCTGAGCTCACACATCAACATTTGAGTCGGGAGGGTCACACGTGTCACGATAGAAGGTGGAGAAGATGACTGTGTGTTTGTGCTTTTAGTGTGGACGAGAGCTGTGTGACATTGCATAAGATGTTTATAGTAAACCTTCTGGAACATGCCATGTCGAAATGTGATTGTTTCACATCACATCAAGGCACTCTATTTAAGGGAGGAGCGTCAGATGTTGTACTCATGGAAAGACAAACTTTAAGAGTGGCTGTGGGCAACTCTAAAGCCAAATACAAAGTTTTTCTAAAATACAGTTCCTGAAGTTTTGTTCAATATTAAAGAGAAAGTGATTAAACCTTTTATTGACTTAGAAACTTTTACCATGAAAGCAGTTATTGATATTAGGTTGTACATAGTTGTGCCATGTAAACATGAACAAACTTAGATTCTGTTTTAGCTGTTATTTTTATTTTTGTCTGTCTTTGAAAAAACGGTAAACTTTTTATTTTTTTCAGTGGCCCTAATACTCTTCCATAGAACTGCTTTCTTGTGTGCTTTCTGACAATTATTGTGTGATCAGATATGTGATGTGGGCGTGGCTTCTGCAGAAAAGGCGGGTTTAGGTCATTCCCCTTTTTCCACTGATGCAAAACTTCCCAGGAGTTTTGTATCTGAGATATTTTTAAAGTGTAAAATCTAGTGAACGGAGCAGTTTGTTCTCGTTTTTACCTCTTTGAGAGAACATATTTTTCAGTTTGTGAAAAGTATGCACTGGTGTTGAAAGAAGATCATTTTCTGACTGCCAGTAGCAGCTAGCTGTGACATGAACCACTGTTGGTTTGTCTTTGGGGTTGCTAGATCATGAAAAACCCTTTCTTGAATCCACTGCTAAATGTGTAAAAGTTTTACATTCATAATAAAAAAGCAAATCCATGGTCTTTAATATTCAATTTGATTTATGATTTCCATATTACATTAATTGCAACATTTGGAGTCATCATTCTGAGAATGAAGCAGTCCATGGTTTTAGCAACATATCCAGCTTCCCATTCCTTCTGCATATTTTCACTTTTTCTTATTTTCTCTACTTCATTATGATGATGTCTCTCAAACCAAAGCTGAACAGTAAAACCAGTTCACCAGTGTAACTGGTGCCACCCCCATTTGTTAACAATCGATGTTGACCATGTAATTAGCTCAGAACATAAGGACTCAGAATTCATTTAAGGTAGACAGTGGGAAAATTCAAAACATTTATTTGTTATGTCGTCCAAGCACAGAAGAAGGAGTGAAGTCCAGAGACGCAGCACTCAGTTATTTGTTGCTTAGCCGGTACCCGAGATCCAGGCGAGAAGAGGAGCGCTGTCAAGAGCATGCAGAGCAACCAATGGATCCAGAGGGCAAATCCAAACCATGGTCAGAGGGAAGCTTCAAGGTCGACAACAGGTGGAATCCAGGTAACAGTCCAGCTTGAATAATCTGGCACCAAAGGCTGGGATCCTGAGGCTTAAATAGCAGCAGGAACAGGTGGATCTGATGAGAGATAACGAGCGCAGGGCGGAGCAAAGCAGATGTGTTTTCAAGATCATGACAGACCATTTCTATTTCACACTGAGATGTGTATGAAGCATTGAAACATGTACATTTTTACTTTTCTGCCAGACTTAAACAATTTTTGATAAATTTTTTCCATTTTTAAAAAATAAATTCCCACTTCTTTAAGCCTGCAGTGATTAAAAGATGTAACCGAAGTGAGACCTGCCCAGTTTGACAAAACTCCTTGTACATACTCATGACAAGCAGCAAAAGATTCAGTTTTATCTGTGTTTATGTTCTCTTTGACAGTGCTACCAGTTGCAATTTCTTTTGTCTGTTAAAAACACATTTTAGGCTATTCAGTTACTTTGGCAGCATTAGAGTGCCATGGTTCTGTTTATATTTTATTTTTGAGTTTTCATTGGTTTTATTTCCATTTTATGATTTTCTAGTTATTTTTTATTGTATTTGAGTTCTTAGGGTATTTCTTGCTGCAATGGACTGGCGACCTGTCCAGGGTGTACCCCGCCTCTCGCCCATTGACTGCTGGAGATAGGCACCAGCACCCCTCGCGACCCCACTCGAGACAAGCGTGTAAGAAAATGGATGGATGGATATTTCTTGTTTGCCCTTTGTGCTCTTTTGTGTCAGTCACCTTTTCCCTAGCTCCTTTCAAGACTCCTTTGTTCACACCTGCTCCCAATCTGCTGATTAGCCTGGTCTTTGTTTCTTTCTCCCATATATGCACCTCCTGCTCAGTCACTGTTTCTGGTTTGTTGTCATTTCTTTGCCCCCTTGTTTAGAGTATTCCTTGTTTTCAGTATTTTTGGATTTTTGCTTCTGTTACTCTTTTTGTTATCATATCTGCAAGTAACCACCTTCTGCTTCAGTCTCTTTATTTGGGTCCTGTCAAACCTCCACCCAACTTGACATGGAGGGATTTGCAGACTATTACTATAGCAATACATATCTGCAATGGGTTTTCTCTCCATTTTAAGTATTTAAGATATCACGTCTTAAAATACAAATGTGCTATGGATTTAATAATGTACAAACTGTCAAAAAGCATGTTGATTCTTTGATCTTTCACTTTTCAGCGTTCCTGATGAATCAGGGATTTTAGGTTGGGGACCACTAGCTTTCTAAGTAAATTGTTGAGGGGTGGAGGAGTTCTCTTTGACTTTTGGGTGTTTGCAATTTAGGCATCTGAGTATTAATTAAATGCGTTATATAGGTGTTATGTTCTATAACTAGAGGAAAGATTGATGAGTCAATCACCACATGGTGACACTGGTGCTGTTCTTTCTGTGTTGGAGTCACTGTAAAACACTTTCTGTAGCTTTGGAACACATTATCACATATTAATCCATGCAAGACTCCAGTCATTGAGTGAGTGGCATGATGCACCCTGGTTCCCATGTCACACAGGTTGGACTACCATGCACATTTTTACACTTAGCCACAATTTAAAGGATCCAGGTAACCCAGCATGAATGTTTTACAAAAGCACAGGGATCTCAAAATACCTGAAAATAATTCTCTATATAAGGATAGTATATTAACAGCATGCAGAAAAAACCCTGACCTTTTTAAAACCAAGACCCTCTTGCTTCAAGACAACAGTACAATCGATTGCACAACCACACAAGTCCATGTTTTACTTACTATAATAATGACCTTATGGAAAAAAGGATAATATCCATATGCAGATATGATCCTCTTTTCCCTGCAGCACTTTGAACACATTTAGCAAAGAAATACTCAGAAGAAAGTCAGATCTCATTGTATTTTATCCATTTTGATTCATATGATGACCGGCCTCCACCTTTTACAGAGTTTTCTATTTAACTTTTTGATATCACAACATTACAAAAATGGCTTTCATGCGTCAACAGCTTTCTTACATTACAATAATAGGATGGTCAATGCAGATTAATAAAAGAACATATGAGATACAGTTATAGATACTAGCAATGGGAGCAACATACAAATAAATGTAACACAAATTCAAAACAGTTTTATACAATATGTCATTAGAGAATGATGACAGCATTTTATCAGATTGGCTCATTTTTTGGACCACGGTTTTCTTGTCTTTATCTCCAGAACATATAAAAGTGTCTAAAACGAGAACACTGAGTAAACCATGTAAGAAAACTTTAAAGTAGTATACATTAAAGCAAAAAAACTAACAAAATGAAACTGTATCAATAACCTCTGCTGTAGTTAAACTGAGGCCAACCGGTACTGTTGCTGCATCTTACATGCAGAGGGTAAAACTCTTTAACTCCACCAATGGCTTTACATAAAAGAGATTTGGATTCCTTCCTTTAGACATACACATTTTTATCAAAGTGCTGCATCCTGGAGGAGGTGCTGTTATCTGTAGCTGGTCTTTCGTTTACAGACTTTTTCTGCCCTCTTGTGTAGGCGGTGATATGGGAATGTGAGGCAGCACCTCTGAAGATATAGTTTGCCTGACTGTGACTGCAAAGGGAAACAGCACAACTTCATCTTTACAAATCAAGCCCCTTTAGGGCTCACAAATATAATTCACACAGATAGATGTTGCTTTAAAATTCACACTGATGCATAATGCATGCAGAAAAATAATTTCTTATACTTACCTTTTTGAACAGGAATCTGCGACAGAGAAGCAGAAGACGCTACCTCCTAGAATACAGAGGACAGCACCTGCCCAGCCCACAAAGAGGGCAGTTCCAAGCTCATACCTGCAAATGTACAAAATTATTTCAAATTATTCTCTCTCAACTGCCTCTGTTAAAGCCTCCATCATAAAACTCACTTCTGAGACATAAACATTGGATCAAAAAACTCTGTTGTTATCCGATGTGCATAGAGAGAACATGAAGAAAGAGAGCAGACTCCTGAGAAGAAAAGAGACAAAAAGTGATTGATTAAACAGCTTCGAGGAAAATTTTGCTGTTCAACTTGATCATCCTTAACTTACCGCTGAGAATAAAATCTACACCAGCAGCGCAGGCAATCCTGGCTTTATTCCTGTCACTGCCGCCAACTTTGGTGCATTTCATCCCAACCAGGGCTAGCACAGACCCAAACATGCCCAAGCAGATGGCTGCAATCATCAATCCTCTACAAGCCTGGATGTAACCTGTAAAACAAAAGAAATCCAAAGACTGTTCAGTCTCCATTTAATGGTTTTCCCTTTCATGTTAAAAAAAAAAGCAAGGTCAATAAGTTACTGACCCTTTAAACTATTTACAAATAGGGCAATGAAAAACGATTTGTCAAAGGTGACCATAACTGCTTCCAGGAACGTTGTGGCATTGTGGTGACTTTGTTGGGATGAAATTTGTCACTCGGATCAGCTTTAGAGGCAAAACTTACCTCTAAAGTCAACTCCTTAAAGTAGTCATCCATGGCCAAAACTGCCTGAGGCATCCTGTAAATCTAAATTATGGCTTTCAAGCTCCAGGAACAAAGGCTAAACATTGACAAATCTGGGGGTAAATGAGTGTTTCATTGGAAACTTGCCTTGGGTGTTGTGATATTTTATAGTCTATGATAGCAAGAGCTTGAACTTGAACTTTCAAACAATTTAGAAAGAGAAAATGAGCTGATGTTAAACAATTTCTAAGGAATGAAGGATGAGTCAACATTTAAACTTGATCAAAGTCAGTTTAAAACAGTCACACATGAGGTATAGGAACAGTTACAACGAATAAGAGATAATAAAAAAAAAAATGAAGAGCAGACCATCCAGAGCTAGCATTGATTGAAAGTCTCTGCAGTTGGAGATCCCTGTTGAATCGGTCACGCACTGCTTCCACAGATTGGCCCAGAAGGTCGACGTGGTAATGACAGATCCATCATTGGAGGAGACCTTCCAGTGGTCCGCATACAAGGTGGAAGACTCCAGTACCCAGCCTGTGGTTGTTAGAACGAAGGCCATGATCTCCTGTAACATGACGCTCATGCTGCAGCGTTGACTCCTTCAAACCGCCAGGGATGTTAAATCAGTTCACAAGGGCAGAAATTAATTAATAGTTTTCTGGCTGGGAAAACGTTTCCGAAAAGATATCTTTCCTCTGTCTGAGTTTGTTCAGTGACAGTGAAGGCTTGATAGTTAATGTGTTGCAGACAGTTATATTCTTAAGGGAGGGGTTTGGACGTAAACATCAATTTGTGGCCAATAGTCAGCCTTCTCACACCGTCACTGTGACTCAGGGCTGCACTGATTGGGACTAGAACTGCAGAAAGTAGAGGGTTTGTGAAGCAGTAATGAAGGCAGTTACTTATTCAAGCTCAGCATATTTCCAGTTATAGGATGTGTTCATGTGTTCAGTTATAGGATGTTTATGGGAAGGTTTTAGAGCAAAACCATATTTTCATCAAAAATAGAATTGTGCACATGGAGAGTCATGAAACCCCTTCTTGCATTATTTCAAACTTTTCATTGATCAGTCATCTTTAGCTTTTCATCCAGAGAGCATAAATGTCACCTTTCCTCTCTCACCTTGCACAAGGAACCATGATTAATGCTCAACCTAAGGGTTTTGGTTTCCTTAGACCAAAAACAGCACACATTAGATGAATTATTAACATTATGCCTTTCAGTTTAATTACAAACCAATTACTAAGCACGTATTATCAGCACTGTTCCCAACATAGACTAGCAGGTACTAAATACTAAACAGTAGTTTCATCCTTCCATTAATTAATGTGAAAAAGAGCTCCATCTAGTGGCTAGATAATAACACCTGTAATAATAAGTTCTGCATATCACCTGACTTGGTCAGAACACTTTACAAATTTTGTTCCTATCAAGTAAAATTTCTTTTAACTGGTATAGCAGTCAAACTATACTTACCGGTAAATGAAGGGCCTTTTTCATGTTTTATTTATAAGGGAAATTAACCTTCAGAGTGTTTTGTCATTATAAAGACATTTATTAGTGTACTTAGGGTTAATTTGTTTGTGATCCACTTGTACTATGTTTTGGTAGATTTAGCTTAGCAGTTATTTGCAATCATGTGAATCAAATGAACAATCAATCAAATGAATAGACACACTGATAAAGCAGTGATCTGATTATCCTTTCCAAAGAGAGAGAAAATATGACGCTTTCTGAAGTTTCACCTGAGTAGATTATCCAGGAAATGCTAAAAACGTTCTCTCTATATATATATATGTTTATATTTGTTTTCATGAATTTTATGTAAAAATAGCACATAATTGTTAAGTTGAATAAAAACTAGATATGGCTTTTAATAACTCTGATTCCTGTAAAAAATAATTTAATAATAATAATAATAATAATAATAATACTCTAAGAAGGTGCTATGATCAGAACTGCACTTTTTGGTGTAAAAGTAAATGGTTCTGAATACGTATGCAAATCACACTGTTCACATTATTATCCATGACAAATATTAAAAAAATATGTTTTACCCGTGTAATCCTTTTGTTAATCCAAATAATACGTTGATATGTTTGGTTTAAAGGTGACAAATCTGAATAGGTCCAGCTGCTGTAAGATACTTGTACTTGATAAGCACTTTCACAACCCTGTAGGGATGAGAAACTCAAGAAAATAAAAGCCAGAAATGACACAAGATCAGCACTGAGATGAAGAAGGTTGTTTGAAGTGTGGCTTTATGTTATTTGTGATTTTATGCATCAAACAGTACTTTTACAGAGAGCAAGAATTATTCATGTTACCAATAAAAAAAAAACAACAAAAAACATTTTCAGTCTAGTATTTATTTTGTTTACAGTACTCTTACACCTAAATGTTACAGCTCCTTTGTAGCATCTTACAACTGCTTGAATTAAAGTAACCATTTAAATACCTTCACTTTATCTTTTACTTGTTCATCATTAACCAAGATATTTGTTACGTATTTTCCAAGTCTCACAAAAAAGCCCTCAAAGATTGATATGTCAAGAAGAAGGCAAAAAAATCACAATAAGAAAACAATATAGCATTAGCTTTCATCAAGAGAACCAGTCCTTTTATTTTCCTTTGGATTTCTTCTGATAAAAACTTATTTTTTTTCTAGTTAGAAATTAAAATACACCACAGTTTGGCCACATTTTTACCATGCATTTTATTTCTGAAGAATTTTAATGGCTAATAAACACAATATGAAACTCAACCAGATAGAAAGGCTGCAAAAAATAAAGACATCAGAGAACATGGAGCTTGTTCTTGGACAAAAAGTGTCTCATATCAATCTAACTACTTTATATTATGATGCGAAAGATGACCTTCTATTATAACCATTGCTCTGTACAATTACAATTTAAGTACTGTTTAAAATCTATAGTTTTTCCAACAGATTTTGATTAACAATAACACTTTTAATATATATAACAACTAATAATTAAAGGCAACAAATAAGCCTGTGATCTTACCTTCAAGCTTGAAGATGGTATGATGAGGTCTGCAGTGTAGAGCTCCAATAGCATTCCCAGCACAGTTGTTCCACAAACCCTGGAGCACCCAGGTGGCTGTGATGACAGAGGATGCCCGACTTGTGGCCCTCCATTCATTGGACACCGTGGCGCCGATGGTGGCGAAGAGCCCAGCTAAGCCGCTGAGGAAAGCCAGAATCTGCCAGCCTGTCATTTGATAGCTTTAATTATGTTTTGTCCTGATAAATATCAAGATATGAGAAGAAATAAAAAGTCCTCAGGTGGGCAAAATTACACTTCGGACATGTGTTTCACAGAGATGATTAACAGACAAGACATCTTGACCGCTCACCTGGTGAGGGACAGACACACGTGTCTCAAAGTGAAAGAGTAAAGGAAGGATGAGCTGGCAGTTAGGCATTACATTTTCTAAGGGGAAAGAGAGAATCCTTCATTTGTGTCTTCATGTTCTTTTCCCAGATGATGTCAAGTACCATCTACATGTTAAATAATAAAAAAAGTAACCATTAATCTTAAAAAAACAGTGGACAAACAGGTGACAAAGTCCAGTTACTGGATCATCTATTTTAGCACAAATGCTTTATTTTGCAACTGAGACACTAATCATTACCACGTGTGAACATGTATGTTTCACTTCATGTTATTTTCTCACAGAAGAGAAGGGTCTAAAAGGTAAACGTTTTGTCAAATTGGCTCAAACTTCTCATTATATCTGAAAAAATCTTCTTTTTTATCCTCACCTCAGCAGCTAATATGGAGAAGTGAAAATATTCAAAGCCTTTGTGCATAAATTTGATTTTACTATAATGAATGGATGTCACAGTTTAACAAGTGTCCATTAATAAATGGACAATGACTTTTTATTACTTTAGAGATACGTTTAGTTTCCAAACATGTTTTAATTGGCTACACGGTGGCACAGTTTGAAAAACTGTTCCCTTGCAGCAATAAGGTTTTTGGTTTGATTCCCAGCCAGGGGTCTTTCTGCATGTAGTTTGCATGTTCTCCCCATGCATGTCTGAGTTCTCTCTGGGTACTCCAGCTTTCTCCCACAGTCCAAAAACATGGTTGTTAGGTTAATTGGCCTTAGGTGTGAGTGTGTTAGCATGGTTGTATATCTGTGTTTCCCTGCGACAGACTGGCGACCTGTCCGGGATGTACAGGTACCCCGCCCCTCGCCCATGAACTGCTGGAAATAGGCACCGGTCCCACGGAGTAAGCCTGAGAGGATGGATGGCCATCTAGTTGCTTTGTGTTTGTTTTTCTGTAATTTGAACAATAACTCTTAAATTACAATGAGAATATAAGAAAACATGAATTTTAAAGTCTTCCAACAGTTTTCAAAATTATTTTAGAAATGAACTTGGGCTAGGTTATTGTAATACATAAATACGCTTTGATTTAAACCATTCAATTTTACATGTGGTTGGAGTTTTAGGGTCAATGTCTTCTTGAAACAGCGTAGTAATAAAACTATGATTAAAGCTACAGTGTGTAATAATTACAGGGATATACAGTCAGAAATGTAATATATTATACATAACTATGTTATTTATCATCATCTACGAGCTCAGCCTCTTAACCTTAATATTTGCGTTGCCTTAGAATTCGTTATTTATAATTACATAGGAGCGGGTCTCGCAGCCATGGAGGCAGACATCTTTGCACTACAGCAGCGCAGAGCCAACGAACTAGCGATTGCGAGATCGCCAAAACGTCACAACGATGTAGAAAAAATAACGGGTATATTTATTATCTTAAGTCTACATGAAATCTATACCCTACACAGACTAATGAAATACTATCTGTAAAATTATCTATGTAAACAAACCTCATCACTTGAGAAGGTAGGTGATGCGGACGTCGTGGAAGACATTTTGTCCCGTAACGCTCGCCGTACTGTTGGGGGGGAGAAGCGGTGGGGGGGAGATGTTCATGTTGCTGCAGTCTGCAGTCTGACCGCTAGATGTCGCTAAAAGTTACACACTGTAGCTTTAAGGTTGCTCTATATATTGTAGCTATAATAAAATCACAATATCGGTGTGTGCTATATCCATATCAAAAGGATACTTTGGAGTGAATTAAAGTTTGGCTAGTTATAACACATGAAAAACTTTCATTTTACCAACTAATCTTATGCTCATCCGTTTGGACAAAAGATGCTCACACCAGACACAATATGCTAAAGGTCAAGTGATAGGATGGAAGCACATGGGAAAAACAGGCATCCCAAATGATATTGTAACTGTGACATTCATTTGCGGGATTTTCCGATATAATTAATTCTTAACTACTATCTTTCACCATGGGGACAGTGGGTTGGGATTAGTGTTGAGTGTTAGCTTCTGCCTCATATAACATTTTGTGTTTGCAAATCTGACTTAATATCAAAAAAGTGACTTTCCACTTTCCACATAAATAAATAAATATGGGGGTTGAGTTCACAACCAATAGCTTTCCTAACAGCCCTAATCAGAAAGCCCTAATGGGTACATATTCATCAGCTCAGAACCAATTGTTTAGAGTCACAAAATATTACAGGACTTTTTTAATAAAACACAACCTATTATTTTTGTTAAAAATCTGCCATAGGAAATTTGTTGTTGTCTTAAACGACGATCAGTTTATATGTGTTTCTTAGCTTTTAAAATAAGGAAAAACATAAAACTATTTATAAAGATCAAGCAGTGGCGTAGATATCGGTAAACAGAGTCTGCAGTTGCTTAGGGGCCCCCGACCTCTTCGGGTCCCCTTCACTGATAACTGGTAGGCCCCCTACACAATGGTGGACTAGTTTGTCTCTTAGCAGATGGAGTGGTGCTAAAACTCCTCATAAACCCACCTGATATTGGTACAGCTTTCCTGGCAGATTCTTATTTATACCGCAACACATGGCATATTTCCCCATGATGGTGAGCTGTTTAAACATGACACCAGTAGCAAAGCAGACAGTGGTACTTTTAATTACTATGTTAATAACTGTGTATAGTTCATTAGACGGTTGATAAAAATACACTCATATAATATGTTTCAAACCGTAATAAAGATCTTAAAAGAACAATATATTTGAGTATTTTATTTTTTACACTACGGCTTAGAATTATGGTTAATCCAGACCGTAGATTAAAACCATAACTGTTATGTATAATGTGTTAGCAGCAATGGAAACAAAAAAGAAGTACTTAAGCGGATTCCAGAAAAGAAAAAGGAAATAAGAGCTGCTGGTATAACAGAAAAAAACTTCCCAAAATAAACACATTCTTCAAAGTGTTGTACTTCTTATGGGGCCCACCCAGATAATGTTGCTTATTGTTGTGTCGTTACGCCATTGAGATCAAGCATGGATTTTCTTCTATGGGGTACAGTTAAAAAAATCAAATCAAATAATAATAATAATAAAATATATTTCTTGTACAATGTACTGTTCCCCTCACACACTTACACAATCTGTATACAATCTCTAAATCTTATCTGCCAATATTTATCTTGTATTATAAACCCACTAATACATATATAATCCTTTTCCTAACATTCCTGTATATTCTGTATAATCTATACATGTAGCTCCCATATTCATATTTATGTACAACATTTTACAGTCCCTTACTATTACTTTTTGCTTGTACTTACACCTGTGATAATATTCATATCCTGGATAGCACTTCTGGATAGATGCAAACCACATTTTGTTGCCTGTGACAGTGCAATGACAATAAAGTAGAATTCTATTATTCTATTCTATGTTATTGTTCTTTTAATGTCATTCTGTTGTGAAAATTAAATTGAAATATTCTTTATTAAAAACCACTAAATCTTGTAAGACTGGTATTTGGTATTATGCTACATTAGTTAGTGTTTTATACCATTTTTAGCCATTATTAAGAGTCATTGAGGCCCCAAAGAATGACATGCGGTTCCAGAGCCTCAGGTTGCAGAACCCATATAGTCTGGGAAAGATGGAGCTCTGCATCAGCATGTCCTCTCGCGGTGGGCGGGGCCACGTAGTGCGTCCCTCTGCGCATCAGAGCCAGCGCACCGGCTTCCAATCTCCAGGAGTAATCCTGCCCCGAATGTCACTAGGACAAATCCTGACACATACGTAGGAGAATTTCTAACAGTTGTCGTCGCTGTGTTTGCACCTCTCAGGGACATAGTCTGCAGAATCAGCCTGCAGGGGGGAGCTTTTACTGTTAGGGCAATGGAACCTGAGAAAAAGGAGAAGCAGGATAATCCTTCAGCAACAGCTAATCTTCTCTCCAAGATTTTCTTCTGGTAAGAAAAAAGCTGTCCTCTCCTATTTAGCCTGAGGACTTGCAGTGTGCTTGGAAATTGAAAAGAACCATTCCTGGACCCTTGATGGCAGAAGTTTGATCAATATAGCATTAAAAAAAACTATGCAATCCTCTATTGCAGGATAAACAAATAAACATGCTTGAAAAATAGATTTATTTACTAAATTAACCTAAGCAATACTTTCCTAACTTAAGTTTTGCTATTAATATTTTATATAAGAAATGGAAATTAGGGAAAATATCTCTAAAACTTTACTTTTATTTCCACTTTCCAACAGTTGGGAGTATAATGCTCAGAATCACCCTGAAGAGCAATTTGTATCGAAGTTGTAACAACCTGTCTTTAAATGTTGCTTCCATATTTTCACACCAGTTAAAAACAAACACCAGAGCAACTAAACAGACTTGATAATACCTCTTTACTTCAAGGATTGGAGAATGTTGTCAATTGATTTTCTTTTCACCCTCTCAGTAAAAAAAAAAAAAAGAAAATCTCGATTTTAGTTTAATGTACTCAGAGGACCTGT